TCTTCCTGAAATTTGGTTGCATTCTATTCCTCCTACAGTTTCTGCTTACTCAGCCTGAAGCAGTCACTCAGTCACCAGAACTGGTAACTGGCCTCTTTTGAGACCCATAGTTGTCTATCAACAGCTTTTCAGGAGATGAAGTTTTCACCCCTTTCAGTTCAATGTCAGAACCTGTTTCTTTTGGTCATTCTATTTTCTCCTTTGTCTCTCCCTCCTTTAAATATATGTTTCTATACTCTTTTGTTTCCTCTGAGAATTCAAGACCACAATACAATTTTATCTCAACAAAAATCTTGTAAAATCATTTGGGCTCAGAGAAAATATGACCCAAAGTCACTCGTTACATTTAATGGGAAGGAGGAACTATGCTAAGTCTATGTCAGATGCATTGTTCCAAATACATTCGTTACCACTGGTGGGATTCCACATTTTTTCCTACTGGTTCTATGTGAGTGCATGCTCACAGCACTCAAAAACCACTCTCTGTGTCAGTGCTAGTGAGGTGAGTTGTTTTTTAGTTCAGTTGAGGCATAGCGATCTGCTCTGCCGTGCAAGTCAGCTAAGCTAAAAAAACAAGGGAATATAGGACAGGAAAGGGCAGCAGGTGGGTGGGCGGGGCCAGCCAGAGGTGGTATTTGCCAGTTCTCCAAACTACTCACAATTTCCGCTACTGGTACACCAGAACTGGTCCAAATCAGCTGAATATCACCTCTGATTCTAACTCCCAGCTTTTCCCTTGTATCAACCTAACATGCCCATGGAACACATCTTTTGGCTTCTCTCATTGTAGGATTTATGACACTGAGTGTTAAAGAACTATTTACAGATGAAACTCTTCAAGGTTCTTCATGGAGAGATATTTAATAGTATCAAGCAAGTGAAATATTGTACAGGTAGTCCTCAATTTACAACAGTTCATTTAGTGACCGTTCAAAGTTACAACGGCATTGAAAAAAGTGGCTTATGACCATTTTTCACGCATGACTATTGTCCCATCCCTGGGGTCACATGGTTTAGATTTGGATGCTTGACAATTGTCTCATATTTATGACGGTTGCAATGTCCTGGGGTCATGTGATCATCTTTTGCAAACTGCTGACAAGCGAAATCAATTGGGGAAGCCAGATCTACTTAACAGTCGTGTTACTAATTTAATAACTGCAATGATTAACTTAACAAACATGGCAAGAAAAAATGTAAAATGGGCCAAAACTACTCAACATTTCTCACTTAGTGGCATACATTCTGGGCTCAGTTGTGGTTGTAAGTCAAGGACTATCTGTATATTCTTTAGGATAATGGTTGATAGTGTTTATCTTTTACTAGTACAAAGTGTGATCAAGCTCATTGCACTAGGCTGAACAAAATGTTTTGACAAACTCCATCTATTTTACTTAAGTCTTTTTTTTCCTTAGTAAAACCAATGAACCAGTCCTCAATGTGGTATCACACAGTTTACTGAAACAGGTCATATAAGTCCCATTGGCAAAAGTCTTTCCAATTTCAGATGATATACTTGCTGAAATATTTAGCAGAAGATTGATTTGTCTTCTGGAGTGCCTTTTTTCAACTTGACCCAAGCAAGTCACATGGAACAATTTGTTATCTTTATGAAAGTCTTTTAATGTGTACTGTTTACACTGGGCAAACACTCAAAAAAGGAAAAGGCATATTGACATAAGCAAAAACAGCCATATTCCCCCAGAAGGCTCAGCACGGCTCCTTTGAAGGATTTCTCCAGCTGTCTGCACATATTTGCATGAATGCCCATCTGCTTTGGTGATAGTCCTAGCAGAAGTGCTGTCTGGGCATTCACACACATGCACTTTCAAATCAATTGTACATAGCTTTCCAGTGGCTGTGGCTGCTTTAGCAGTTTGAGTAATGGGACTTCACACATGCCAAGTGCTTTCTAATGTTGTTGGTTTTTTTTGCACAGCTCTAATTGTTCCCAATATTTTTAATAATGTGAGAAATCAAAATAACCTTGTGAGTCAACAGAAGAACAGAAATAATGCTTTCCAGTTATTTTAGCTATATCATTGAAAAATATAGAAGAGAGCCATTTGATCAAGTGGTTAAGGCATTGAGTTACAAACCAGGAGACTGTGCATTCTAATCCCGCTGGAAGCATGAATGCCAAATGGGTGACATGGACCAGAGATTCTCTCTCAGCCCATAGTTTCAGGCTAGGGCAACAAGCTGGTTAGTCAATTCCTATTGTAACCAATGTCAGTGTTCCAGCTAAACCAAACTCCAATCAAATACTGCAACAAACATTTTCTCAAAGTTTCTCTTTATTGGAAAAGTCATACTGGCACATCTGGGAAAACCTGAATCTAAGAGTTCTGGGTTTTCCTTCAATAATTAAAAAATACAAATCCATCCCCTGCACCCATTATTCCATTACATGCCCCAATCACCATCCATCCCAACTTGAGACACCTCTTAAACTACTCCTCATCCAGGTGTAGGAATAACATGACCTTGACTGTAAAGAAGAATGCTATTATGTCTAACTACATGAAATCCCCTCCCAATTTCCCAAGCACAAGAATGTGGCCATGTGTAAGCTTCTGGTGCTATTATGGCTTCCAAAGCTGACAACCAGTTGATCACGTCTTGATTGATCCAAAATCAATGGACCCTGCACTTGTGGGAAAATGCTATGAAGGAAAAAAATGATAACTGTAAACCGGACACTATATTAAAAGCTTCAAAAAAATCTGTGTTTGAATATGAGTTATAATTTTTGTTAGGTTACTTATTGGTGCTTGGTGTATAATATTTTAAAATGATACTTAAATGATTTTTTTTAAAGTTAATCTAGCTATTTGTATGTCATGGCAAAGTTTCTTCTTGATTTAGCAAAAGGCCATACTATATACCTTAGTCAAATTAATGAAATCTCCTCCTTATTTGGATTGTTTGAATCTGCTACTCCAGTATCACTTTATTGATTACATTAAAGAAAATAAATCTTGAAGGGCTTCCCAGGGGTTATGCTGTGCTACTAAAAGCATTTAAATACCAAGAAAATATACTTGAATCTGCAAAATCCATTGCTGTTACACATTATTTTCTTAAGCAGCTGGGAGCTTTCATTATCTGAGTGTATTAAACTATAACCCTTGAAGCAGACTCCTGCCATCTTATCTTGGAGCAAAATATTGATTCCTTGGTACCAATGATCTAAAAAGTTGCAGATGAGACCTTATTTGCACAAATTTATAGTAAGAATTCTACTTAAATACTGCTTACAGTGCATTCAGACCTCCTTCACTTTTGTCAATTTTGTTATGCTGCAGCCTGATTCTACAGTTATTAAAATTCATTTTTTTCTTATTAATCTACACTCAGTACCCCATAATGACAAAGTGAAAATAATTAAAAAGGAAAAAAACCCCCCACAAAATATCACATTGGCATAAGTATTCAGACTCTTTGCAACAACGTGTGAAATTTAGCTCTGGTGCCTCTCATTTCTCTTGTTGTTGTCATGTGTCTACACCTGTTTTAAATTCAATTAATTGGACATGATTTGGAAAGGTACATGCCTCTCTATGGAAGGTCTCACAGCTGACAATACATACCGTAACAGAGCAAAAAGCCATGAGGTCAAAGGAATTGCCTGCAGAACTCACAGAAAGGATTATTGCAATTATTGGGGAAGGTAGAATAAAATTTGTGCTGCACTGAAGGTTCCTAAGAGCACAATGGCCTCCATAATTCTCAAATGGAAGATGTTTGGCACAACTAGCACTCTTCCAGTTTGCCCAGGCAAACTGAGCAATGTGGGGAGAAGGGCCTTAGTAAGAAAGATAACAAAGAACCCAAGGGTCACTAAGACTGAGCTCCAGAGATCCTGTGAAGTTGGGACAGAGTTCCAGAAGGACAACCATCACTGCAGCCCACCATTGATTTAGGCTTTATAGCAGAGAGGTTAGATGGAAGCCTCTCCTCAGTACAAAAAAACATGAAAGCCTGCTTGGAGTTTGCAAAAAAGCACACGAAGGACTCTCAGACTGTGAGGAACAAGATTCTCATTTCTGAGGAAACCAAAATTGAATTGTTTGGACTCAGTTTTAAATGTTTCTGGACGCTGCCCAGTATCATCCCAACAGTGAAGCATAGTGGTATCAGCATCATGCTGTAGGGGTGTTTTTCAGCAGCAGGGACTAGGAGACTGTCAGAGTTGAGGGAAAGCTGAATGGAGCAAAGTAAAGGGACATTCTGAATGAAAGCCTATTCCACAGTGCTCAGGACCTCAGACTGGCCTGAAGATTCACTTTCCAACATGACAACAATCCTAAGCACACAACTAAGAGAACTAAATGTAGATCAATGAGGGGAAAAAATGAATTTAAACCACTGTAGAATCAGGCTGCAGCTTAACAAAATTGACAAAAGTGAATACTTTCTGAATGCACTGTAATATACATATATGTGTCATGCCCCTGGTGGAGACTGACTCTGAGGAAGAGGAAGAACAGCCAACGGAGTGGAAGTGTGACTCCAGAGGTGGTGGAGGAGGCTGGGGAAGGGCAGAGGCCAGCTGAGCAGTGTGAGATCTGCATAAAAGTTTGGACCTGTGTGCTAACAGATGCTGGAAACAAATTAGTGTTTTATTCCTAAAGAAGGTTTATCTTGGTTGGCGTTCTTCCAACGGACTGTACCTGGTTATCTTCCTGAAGTTGGCAAATATCTATCCTGGTCTATCGTGAAACTTTATTCAGTGCGGTTTGTTTTTGGTTTGTTATCGGCTCTTTGAATTTGAACTGTGTTTTTTTCCTTTGAAATGTTATTTTGAAAGTAGTTTACTCCTCCACTGTGAACAATTAAACAGTGAAGCCAAGTTGAAGGCATTAAAGGACTTTTAGTTACATTTTGGGTTTTGTTATATTTCTGATATACTCTGGGTCATCACATATATGTATCATCGCCATGGTTCTTCCTTGCTCTAAAGCCATGTTCTTTTTATTACTTTTTAATTTATTTTTTTAATTATGGAACACTTCACAAATGTGCATGTCATCCTTGCACAGGAGACATGCTTGTCTTCACTGTATCATTTAAATTTTTAGTAAATATGTTGCCTAAGAGCAACTCCAAAGCCATGTTCTTAAAGAGCTCTCAAACTATTCAATATTTAAGGAAGGATTTGCCTGCAATGCCATATTACTGGTTTCACACATTCGGATCTCTGCACACTTTGTAGACTGAATGGGACACATATATTAGCACAGATATAGCTTCCCAATGGGATTTTGGGCTGAAAATAGAGAAAAAAGAAGTTAGTGATGGCAAGCACTGATTCAAGGAAGGTGAATAAAGCTCAGTGAATTTCCAGTTCACTATCTGGTCAGTTTGCTTCTTCTCAATGATTTCCCTGGTTGTATGACAATATTCTACTGTATTTAGTCCATGAAACAATCTCATCAGAGGTGGTATTCAGCAGTTTCTGACCAATTCTGGAGAACCGGTAGCTGAAATTTTGAGTACTTCAGAGAATCGGCAAATAGCACCTCTGACTGGAGATTTTACAGTATCCTTCCCCTGTCACACCCACCAAGCCACGCCCACAGAACCGATAGTTAAAAAAAATAAATGAATCCCACCACTGAATCTCATGGACATGAATGGTCCTTAAGTCAAAATCCTGTCAATTTCAGTGTTTTTACTCTAACTGAAACGAAATCTGGATGCCAATTAATTAGACACAGCCTCTTCTCAGGCCTAGGAAAGATCAAATATTTTTAATATTTTCCTGGAACCTTAACCTTTCAAATATTTTCAGACAGATATTTCAAACACATCAGTGATCATATCATTTAAAATTTATATTGATAGTTGTTTGTTCCTTGCACTTACCCACCATTTTTCAACCATACCTTGTCCGAAGGTGGCAAAATTAAACCATTTCATAATATATTTCAAATTAAAAAGTAGCTGGCAGGAAAAGTAATTGGAAAAGAAAAAAAAACTGGTCTGCATCAGCACATTAAACTTGAACTAGAGCAGTGGGGGGTCAAACTGGTGGCCAGCTGGCTGGCTGTGTCATATGCAGGCCACACCCACCCCAGCTCTGTGAAGGAAAAATCATCATGAAACATCACATGACAGCAACATAACACAATGAGTTTGACACCCATGAACTACAGCAACAAGACTAAATCTATGCTTTTTCGACCTACTTCAGGAAATCCATGATCTTCTCACTGAGTAAGTATGCATTGAAACATTATTTTCATCTTCTTTCAACTGTTAAACATACTTGGAAAAAATGGGCAAACAGTTCTGTCTCTGATGGCTCAAGTTTCTTTAAAATTGACATGTGAACATGGAATAATACACATTGTGAAAAATCAGGTTATTTTTTTGAAGATAAGATTGGGTTAAATGTAGTTAATTAAATAAATAGAAGAATCTGATGTCATTTGACTATTTTGTAGGTTCCTTATGTTGCTTGTTAGGTAATTTTATCTGATTCCTAAATGACAGTAAGAAAACTTAGCAGATGGTCTGAATCTCTATTAACAACATACCCATTGTGTGTATAGCTCTGTTTTTCTTATTTTATAATTAAAAATAAAACACAGGGAGCTAATAAGAGCTTTAAATTTATTCATGCTAAACTCCATGTTTGTGAACAACTGAGATCACAAAGAAGAAAACTCTCTCATTTTTACATCAATATAAATTATAGTTAGGTATCAAATTTCAGCCTGGACTTTGATAAAGGAATGGTCTAGAAAATGGCTTTTTAGTAATAAAGGGACTTTAGAAGAGGGATAAATGTGTTGTATATATCCTGGCAATGTAAATAATTTCTTTTATTGTGTGGCTGATCTACAGCATGGTAAACAACATGAATTGCAATAATTAAATTGGGAATATGCTACATAAATGTTACTACAACTAAATAATTAAGAATGTATTTCAAGTGTTCTTTTTATGAAGGGCAGTTCATAGTTTCTGTTACCTCTCTCCCAGTTTTGTCTTTTGGGAAGATTTTGGAAGAAAACACTTCATTAAAATTCTTCCAATTTCAAAAGGTTGTCCCTCAAGATTTTAGGAATAAAACATCTTACAGGAAAAAAATGTCAACAATATAACACTACAAAATGCAGAGTCTGTTATTTTCCAATTTCATATCTAATATATTTAGGTTTCTTCTAAACTATTAAGAAGAAGAAAAAAAGGATTTTTTTAAAAATAAAAAAATGCATGCCCATTTTGCTATTTTTGTGGTATAGTAAATACTCAAGAGTAAGCTGGCCATTTGAACTTTATATAACTATTGGATAGAAATATGAAGATTTTTCTTAGTCTGAATATGAAGCATTGTCATGCAGTGGACTGGATTTTTTATAGGAGAGAATGTTATTGTTAATGAATTGTCATATTTATATACTGGCTTATTGAAAAAGCTTAAATTGGCTTGCATGGATTTCTTCTGAGATTTTATCCACATGGAATAACAGAGTTGGAAGAGACCATGGAGGTCATCTAGTCCAACCCTCTGCGGAGGGTCTATTCCAAATATTAGCCTCTACCTAGGATTGAACTAGGCTCCTGGTTGTGAGGAGAGAGCTCCACCTCTAGGCCACTGGAGCTGTCATAACAACACCTGTGAGGTGGATTGGTCTGAGAGAATGTGACTAGACCAAATTTCCTGGAGTATCATAGACTTCTTCAAAGCTCTTCATACATATATGTGTGTATATTTAGAAACATTTGTTACCCTGACTCCATACATACCATTTATTTATTATGCAAGAGAATCGTATAGATACAATAAATCTCAATATTATTTATAATACTCAATTATAGGTGCTGCAGGAAGCTTGGAGGGTAAGAAAAAATAAGTAATAACTAAACTAATACAAATTACATCTGTCAGGGCATAAATTGGGAAATGTTTTGTATACATAATAAAGCAAAATATTAAAGCCCCAAGGTTATTTAGAGAGATAGTAAGGAATTAATCTTAGTTTCCAACTTTGTTCGCAAAAGGTACAGTACAATCTATACTGAGGCCCTTTATTCCCCAAATGATATTATCCAGAGATTACACAAACCATTTTCAAGAAGGTAAACCTTGAAAGTATTTGTCTTGCTCATTTTGATAAATGGTATTGATTCCTTCCTCTGATTTTGACTGATAAGAGTAGAAGTGTCAAATAGCCATACATATAGTAGCAATAACATGTAGCACTTAGACTTATATACCACTTCATAGTGCTTTACAGCACTCTCTAAGCAGTTTACAAAGTCAGCATATTACCCCCAACAATCTGGGTCCTCATTTTATCAATCTTGGAAGGATGGAAGGCTGAGTCAACCTTGAGCCTGGCAGTGAGCAGAGTCATCCTGCAATACTGCATTCTAACCACTGCACTACCACAGTTCCTAATGTAATTCTAGGTCTTCCAATGTGGTTCCTAGGGCTAAGCTGTGCCAAAGACAACTTCCTTGGTGCCTACTTGGTCCCTGGAAATTACATAATTTTCTAATTTTCTTTTTAAAAAATGTAAAGGGAAACTTGCTGATGCAGACAAAGAAATGTAGGAAGCCTCCTACAGAACAGTGGCCTAGAGAAAATGGTACATAGCATTCTAATAAATTGAGGGTTTTGTAACTATGTTTATCATAGCAATCATTTTGTAAACAGATAAGTGATGCCACCAAGCATTTTATGTGATTTATTTTACAGCCCATCCAATAAAAAACCAGGCTCAGCCTGCTGTGTTTTATTTCAGCCTGAAAGTCCATTTATTCTTCAAAGCTGAGAGCTTCATGTATAATATTAATTCTCCACCACAAAGCTTTTGGCTCTCCATTCCACCAGGACCATAATTAATTCAATTTTTTAAAATTATTTTAATAATTGAAATAAATTACAAGTTGCTTATGTGAATGTTTTCTAATGTTAACAGTGAAGACCAGTTTTGCATGCAAAGATGAAAGGCAATTATATTGACCTTTCTCCACTTTTGCTCCCATTTCATACTTAGTTTGGGCAGAAAGTGCAGATTTGGTCATTTTGCTACTCAGATTTAGAGAGATTATCCCAAGGTACTAAGGAGCCACAAGTGGGCTCCATGTTGCCTATCAAACAATGACTGCATCAGCAAGGAACATATAGCTTTCTAGATCTTGATGGTCAGCTGTAGTATGTAGATGGGGATTGCTGGGAAATGGAAGTTTGGGGTCACATGGATGTTCCCATTTCCTTACCCCTGACAAATATGCATATTGTCAGACCTGCCCCAATCTAATTCCTTAGGAAAGAAAAGCCTTCAACTCCATTTGGTTAAAGCAAGGGGTTCTTTTACTAAAGGTTTTAGTTGCAATAAAGTCAAGCCAGCTCTGAAATTACCACACTTGCTGGATACAAAAATAAGGTGTATGCTTACCTCCAGCCCATCCCTTCCCCCATGACCAAACTGTTTCCAACTAATCAGAATTCACCAAAATGTTTGAGCATCCTGAGATATTTGGGGGTTATCTGCATATTTCTCAAGGTGCCTGGCCATGGGATGCTGGCACAAACAAGATCCAGCTGCTCTGAGCCTTATCACCTGACATTCCCTCCTCCCAATTTCCTATCGCATACACACAAAGCTTTATCAGCCTTTCATCTTTCCCCCTTTCATCTTCTCCTCCTTCTTCCTCTTTTCATCCTCCCCTCACCCCTTCTTCTTTTGATGGCAGAATGCCGAGCCAGGCAGAGCTGACACATATCTTGGTTACTTCACTATTTTAATGCATGCACATCCAATTATATAGTATCTGTGCAAATGTAATAAAGAGAATCACATTTGTAGATAGCTCACAAATTATTTAAGCCAACATATTTTTTTGCTTAGTAAATAGCTATAGTTTTTCAGTAGGTGTCTTGGCCACCTTAGTAGAAAATAAAACTTTCCTTCTTTACTTCTTTCATTTGCATTGTCACAGCCACATTTAAACACAGTTCTGCTCCCACTGCAAGATCTGTATTCATGGATGGTACGCTGCTTTATTTTTTTCAAACAGGTCTAAACAGGAAGCTGTTTTGGTTTCTGCCACTATCTATTAACATTGATTGCTCCATGCAATTAA